CCCCCCGCGCCCTCGCTCGCCCCGCGCGCGTTCCTAGGGCGCCACCTCTTTGCGACTTGCTCACTTCTCCCGCAGGTTTGCCTCGGAGCGTGTGAACATTCCTCTGCTCGACTTTCAACTCGCCTCCAACCTGCGCTGTCCGGCCAGCATGCCTCCCCGGCCGTGAAGCCGGGCCGCCGCCGCCCCTCCGCGCCGCCTTGACCCGCCCTCGCTGCCACCTGGCCCTCCCGATCGACGACACACGCGCTTGAAACTTGTTCTCAGGGTGTGTGGAATCAACTTTCCGGAAGCAACCAGCCCACCAGAGGAGGTAGACAGACAGCTATGTATATATATGTGGGTCTCGCTACAAGTGGCTCTGGGACAAGAGGGCCTGGTTCGGAAAGAAGCTGACTTCTTGGGGGAAAACTTGCTTCTTTTAGAAGGAGGTTAGTCCTGTTCCACGAATTCAGGAGAGCTGCTGGCCAGATTAATTAGACATTGCTATGGGAGACGTGTAAACACACTACTCATCATTAGTGCATATATAAAACCATTTCATTTTCGCTATTATTTCAGAGGAAGCGCCTCTGATCCCCACCGCCCCCTTTTTTGGTCTCTTTTTGCCTGTGTGGTTTGGAAAAAGCAGTCAGAGTAGCTGGTTCCTAAATAAGTAAGTGCGGAGAGGCTCCAGATAAAGTATTTTCTCTTCTTTTATTTTCTTATTTTCTTTTATTTTCCTTTTCTTTCCTTTGCAACTTTGGGAGATGCCTTTGATGTGGAAGAGGCTGTTTGAGAGCAGGCTAGGAAGGGGAGCGGAGTAGTGCCAGGAGATGCAGAGTTCGGACTGACACTTGGGTTCCTCTCCACTCTGTTGCAGATCCCAAGCGCCAGAGGATATGATGCTGCGGAGACTGGTTCAGCACTGGAGCGTCGCGGTATTCCTGCTGAGCTACGCGGTGCCCTCCTGCGGGCGCTCGGTGGAGGGGCTCAGCCGCCGGCTGTAAGTGCCCCATCCTCCCCAAGGCGCCGGGTTAGGGAGGCTATTGGGACGGGCTGCCAGGCTGGGACGCTGCCGAGGGCTCGCAGCGGTCAGATGCTGCTCGCCCGAGGTAAGAGAAAGGGGCCATCCCGCTACCTACCTGGGGCCGAGCCCGGGTCCTCAAACTTAGCGGAAGAACTGGTTGAACTTAAGGGGAGACAGTGAAAGAGACAGATTTTATGTGTGTTTGCATAAGAAGGACAGTTTTACAGAATCTCTTCTTGGGAAAGATCCTCTGCCTCTAGTAAAAGAAAGGATTACTTTGAGGACCCGGGAAGGTTTTCAAAATCAGAGGAAGCTGAGGGATGGGGGTAGGGGGAGACATATGGTCTGTGCGCTCGTGTATATACATACTGAATGTGGGTGGCAGCTTGTGTATGAAAAGCAAACTCCTTGCATCTAATTTTATTATGAATGACATAATTTTAAGCATATAAAGTGGGACCATATTACATAATGAAAGCGTATTATATAATAAAATAGTAACAACTTTGCAGTGGCACAACTCCAACGGTGGTATTGATACAGTTCAGGAACGCTAGAGTGTTTGATTCCAAAATGAATTTTAGGTGTGGAAACATTTTTCTCTTGGAACTATTACTAACAGTTCTTTAATCTGGAGTCAAATAATATTTGCATTGTAGACTGGAAACTTGTATTTTGGCATTCTCATGTGGTGATTCTTTTAAGGATAATGTTGACTTCAAAATAATCACACGTCCAAGTACACCAGAGAAATATCGCTATGTTGTAGGACCGAGAAAGTGGAAGAGTGGTAGAGAAGGAGTAGCTTGGTAATCTTTGGACCTAGCAGTTCATTAATGTGTGTGTAATCCCATCTTTGGGTGCTCTTTAAGCTGAGGACTCAGTGTTCCAGATGGGAGCACTTCAAAGTTTGAGGGCTGAGAAGACTTTGACTCTGGAGAAGGAATTAAGGAGCCCTTTTTACACTGACAATAAAAATAGCAATATCTAATATTTACAATCAGGTTCCTGGTGCTTCCTTGTAAATTCCCAAGGGTGTACAAAAAGGCAACTGTTTTATATGTGCCCTTAGTCTATTATTAAAGCAGAAAATCCTCAAATGAAATTACTTTAGACATGTCTGAACCTTGGCATCAAAATGAAAATCTATTATGAATCTCCTAAGGCAAATTGTGTAGAACATTGTACTGAAGATAAAGCTGCATTGTATTCTTCAAAGTTTTGCCGATGTATTTCTGAAAATTGTCTTCAGACTTTTTGCTTGTTTTGAGACTTGTGTTAAATTCAATAATTGAAAGTCTGTATGTAAATATAGACAAACACTGATTTTAAAAGCACACTTAAAGGCTGTATTTATTTGGCTAAGAAATGCTATCTTGGAACACAGCCAACTTTTTCTTTAAAGTTGCTTAAGAAATAACCTGTTTTCTCTTTTGAGAAACAGTAAATGAGCCATGATTAAATCCATAACTGTGGCATAAAAATACTGCTGAGCAGTCCTAAAGGCTATTTTTAACTCTTTCTTTGTTGCACCTTACACAATACACATCAGAAACCATTTAGCAGCCAGCGACTGTTATAGTTTTGTTTGTGGGTGAAATATAATATTGTAGTTAAACACTCACACTCAGCAGATGGTTATAAAACTACCACAAAACATTCTCATAGTTAATGGGTAATAGATCATCACATTACAACCATGGTTTTTCATGGAGGCTGAAATCATCAGTAGATGAAGATGTTTCATCAAATTATTATAGCCAAATGGAGTTTAAAAAAACAAGTCATTATATTTGCATTGCTGCCAAGTAACAGTAAATTTTGTGTGCTAGACAAAACATTAGTCTACTATTACACTAAATCAAGCTAGCTTCTTGAAAGAAATTTTAACATATAATCAAACCATGTTACTCCTCAATTTTCATACAAAGTGTTAAGAAACTGCTTTAAAAGTAGAGTTTGTTTTTTTTTAACCAGGTGCTAACTTCTAAGGGAGAGGAAACGACTATAACAGTAAGATTTCTTAAACCATACAAAGGAGGCAATTATAAATTGTCAATCTTCTGAATCTGCTAGTCCAAAAGATGTTAATTAATGGAGCTAGAGCATGATGGAATTGGTTATATTGCAAGATGAGGCCTCTGGGTGTTATCGTGCAGATAAACAAGGCTCTGGACAGGTGCCTATCTCTGTATTTAAGGGAGAGAGGGAACCCCAGCAGATTCAGAAATCCAAAACATCATTGGCTGATTTGTTTGGGAGCCAGACTGGGTCTACTCCACTTAATGAGAAGCGTAACTTTTGACTGAGTCATTTGGGTTGGAAGGGACTTCTGGTGAGTCATCTTAACTCTAACACCCTAACCCTGTCTCTTCTATGTACCACAAAATTTTTCTTCTCAAACACAGAGTCCTTCCTTAGTAGCCCAGCATCAGTACAAGCATGCTGCTTCTTCCTGTGCTGGAAGAGGAATTTCCATCACTACTTATGCCTTCTATTCCTTGATGGTTTCTTGGAAATGAATCCTCCCTGAAAACCCCCTTGAGAGTGATTTTTCTTTAAAGAGGAAGAGATATATTTTGACCAAATTTAGAGTTATCTGTGCTAAGGATTTTCCCCAAATTTTTACAAATTTTTTTTTGTCAATAATCAAAGGAGAGCATGATGCATAACATACTTGTTTTTCCATTTGGGAGCTTAAGTATATAATAAATGCCACAGTGTCAACCATTGTGCTGTGTAATGTTTACAGACAAATTAAATAACGGAGTATTATTGAGGCCATATTTACAACCTAAATATTTCAGAGTTATCTCAATTGAGAAGCTCCTCGATTTGAATTTATTACTCACTATCGATGTATATCTAGTTTTTATGGGTTAGTCATTTATTCCTGTGTAAGTTTATGCCTCATTTTGGAAATAAATAAAACATTTTGTGGGCCTTAACCTTCTTGATGATGAAGATACTGTTATATTCCATATCTCCTAATGCAATTTCCCAGAGATTCATTCTTCACAACATTTTAAATACAGAAAGGCTTTGAAATACTAAGTAAACTTGTCTAACAGCATTTCAGATTTTATATTTAAGAAAACTTGTTTTCTAATATACTAACAGTTACCCCAAAAGGCAGATCGAAAGCTTTGTCCTTCACGAGAGATGGACTATTTTAAACTAGATAAAATTGGGCCATAGTGTAGGCTTTTCATAAAATTGAAGGACAAAATGATTACTGCATTTCCCAGGAGGACCATCCTGGGAAAGTGCAGCTCTTGAGTTGGGAAGGGATGGTGACTCATAGTTGACAGGCTGGCCATGATGACAAGCCAGAGGGGGCATGAGCAATGGTGGCTTGATTAGAACAAACTAACCATTAAAGTTTGGGCTTTGCGTTAAGCTAGAATGGGCTATATTATCCATTTGGAGAGCAGTACAGATGGAGAGGGTATCTGCCAGGAATTGAGAAAGAAAGAAAAGCCTGAAATACTATGAATTATCACTTCTTTTTAATGTGACATTCTGCTAAAAGATACTTATTAAACTGCAGTGCTTGTGAGATATGCAAGTATATCAGTCCTGTGCTTTTAAAATGGTATTAGAGAATATAAATACATTGTACCAAAGCCCCAAATTTGTAGATTATTAAAAGTTTCCAGAATACTTACTATGCCACAGAGTAAGTGAATTTTAATCTAGTCACATGTGGCACCTTCAAAAAGGAAGAGAGACTCCTTCATGCCTCATTTCAACCAGGCTCCTGTTAAATTCCTTTCCATGAAGTCATGTCTTTTTTGAACAAGCTACATGGCTTAAAGTCAGTCCACACACTAAAATACTAGAAGGAAGCTGGCATTCCTGCTAGAAGGGTTGGAGAAGTGATGACTGCATTTTCATCTCTTCCTCTCTCGTTTGACTCATTCCTCCAGTGATAATCCAAACTCGAGGAATCCCAGCTCCGTGGATTTGAGGGGCCATGGGCTTGGTCTTCAAGGAAAGTGATGAATTTTTGGACAACTGACCCATTGTTGTGGTGGTTCACCACGATTCACCCCATGCCCTGCCCTTCTTGTTCCCTCCACAGAGGAACATGTTGAGACTTTAGCTTTGGCAAAAAGGTTGAGGAAATGAAGAGCGACCTTGGTTTTAGAACCAGAAGACCTTGTTTTGGGAGCCCCAGCTCTGCCAATTCTCATTGTGTGAACGGGAGCAAGCCATTTAATCTATCTGTACTTCACTTTCTGCAGGCATAAAATGGGATAATAATCCATTTATTACTGTCGTATTTCTGTAAGGAGTTAAAGAAGTTATGGTAACAAAAGCAACAAGGGACCCAGACACCATTGTGTCAGGGAGGCAAGAATACATGACACGGAGCTCTGTGAAATATCCTTACATGTTTTTGAGGATGAGCCAATGGGGCGAGCTCTTCTTACTGTAAAATTGGAGTTAGGTAAGAAAGAATTGAGGCAGGCACAATATGGCTGATTAATGTATGCTATCCTTAAATATAGTTAATAATATTCACACAGAACAATAAAAGAATACGTACTGGAGCAACAGTCGGAGTGTCATCAAAAAACTGATAATCGGTTTATTGCTTTTCACTGTATTTTTCAGTAGAGTGCTGTTCAAATAGAAAATTGCTTCTTATTTGTTCATGGACATATTTTAAGATAAAGAGAACAAGTAAAAAAGTGAACTTCTTGGTTATTAAGGATAATAGTTAAAAATTGTTAATATGAAGTATTAAGGGTAATAGTTAAAATTGTTTTAAAAAAAAACAACTTGAAGCACAGAAAAAATAGAATGATCCCATTTAATTTAAGCACACAAAGAAACCCATTTTAAGGAGACCACCCACTACTTCATAGAAAAAGACATAGGCTCTTTCTGACCGTTGGCCTTCCAATGCAGGTTCTTGGTAGCCGGCAGTCTAAAATGTTCAAGTTCAGCCTGTTAGTCAGATTAGATGGTTTCCTAGACAGGCTTCACTGCTCACTCCATCCTTCAGCTTTTGTTTGCTTTGACTTTTACAGCTTGTTCTTTGAAATTCAGTATTATTATTTTCTTAATGAGGCAACTGTGTGTGTGTGTGTGTGTGTGTAGGCAGGTTTGGGAGAGCACTCAGGTATAAAGCCTGTCTCCTTTTTATTACCCAAGCTGGGACTTCTGGATTTATTACAGCAACAAAACTCTGAAAAATGTGAATTGATGCTCAGTGGTTTCTTGTCCATTTCTGAGCATAACCGAGGCATGGCATTTGAAATTGGGAAGGGAACACAGAAATCACTGACTCTCGCCCCTCCCTTTCATACACAGGAGGCCTGAGAAGGTTCATGTTCCCACCAAGGTCACAAACCTATTTAGTGGCAGAACTGGACTGGGAGCTGGAGCCTCCTAAGGGCAGCTCTTTGCCTCCCATAGGTCACTCTCCAGTACAGCCGGCTGGCCACCCTTCCTTGGGTGTCCCATAGTGGACCAACTAGAAAGCTACAGAAATTTACTTGTGTCTTTGTTGTCTCTACCAAGAACTGAAATGTAACTGTTTTCTTTCCTTCCTGCTGTTTCTTTTTCTTAAAGCAAAAGAGCTGTGTCTGAACACCAGCTCCTCCATGACAAGGGGAAATCCATCCAGGACTTAAGACGTCGCTTCTTCCTTCACCACCTGATCGCAGAGATCCACACCGCTGAAATCAGAGCTACCTCGGAAGTGTCCCCTAACTCCAAGCCTGCTCCCAACACAAAGAACCACCCAGTCCGATTTGGGTCTGATGATGAGGGCAGATACCTAACTCAGGAAACCAACAAGGTAGATGCGTACAAGGAGCAACCGCTGAAGACCCCTGGGAAGAAAAAGAAAGGCAAGCCTGGGAAACGCAAGGAGCAGGACAAGAAAAAACGGCGAACTCGATCCGCCTGGCTAAACTCTGGAGTGGCTGGGAATGGGCTAGAAGGGGACCGCCTGTCTGACACCTCCACGACGACGTGGCTGGAGCTCGATTCACGGTAACAGGCCTCCTTGGCCCGCAGCCTCTTCCTCGTGCTCTCAGCTGGGTTCGGGAGCCTCCCTTCTGCCTTGCCCTGGATCTTCTCCCTTCTATCAGTCTCTACCCAATTCAAAAGCTGATAAAACCAAGATAAGCCAGAATGTTGTCTGCCTTAAAGCAGTGTCCCCGACCCTCCACACACACCACAACACACAAACACAGGCTAGAAAACTACAGAAATTTACATCATCACAACCCCCGACACCAGTTCCTTAACACTCTACCAAATAATTTCATTTCTTATTCAAACTTCAGAAGCTAGAGACCATCTTCGTAACTTGCTGGAGGGGAGTATTTATTCTCCCGCCCTCACACCCTGGCAAACTTTCTTGATAGTTTTTCATCTCTTTCTGTTTTTCACTTCGAGGGAAGCCACTGAGGGATTTGATATTGTCTACAAGCACCTCAGAGTGCTACTCTGACCGTAAACAGTTCTGAGCCATTTGTACTTTTGATTTAAGTATATTTAATGAAATTTTAAATTTATTTTAATTTAAAGAAATTGTTTTTAAACACGTGCTTTAAGTTTGTTTAATAAATTTAACTCTGCTCTCTACCAGCTCATGGAAAAGAAATGGTTTCTGAAAAATGTTCAGTATTGTCTTGGAAGGATAGAAGTTTTTTTTCTCATGTATCCATCTCCTTATTGGCAAGTTGAAATAATTTTTCTAGGGTAGCGCAGGAAGAATGATAAAACTTGACATTTATGGAGATTCGTTATCCTTAGCTCACAGATACGGTTAATACTGACTCTCCTGGACATTGGGATCAACACAACATCTTAGGTCTGCATTTATTAAAGTTCGCAGTCTAGGGCAAGTGATTCAGTCTTTCTAAGACTCACTTTTGTCATCTGTGAAACTAAGATAATAATTGTATCGACCTCAGAGAGCTGGGTAAAGACTAGATGCGATTCTATATGAGATAAATGCCTGGCAGAGTAAACGCTCAGTAAACAGCGGTGTATTTCAGACCTCGTTCGGATTGTACCATCCATCTATCTATCTTATCTAGCTAGCTACCTATCTAGGGGCGAGGGTGTTTCTGTGAGGCACGAAGTAGGGGGCAAATACTTAATTTCACTGTATAAAATAGGCAGCCAAAACACTCCAGAGGTAAAGGACCTGAGCAGCTCTGGGAATTGAAATAGGTATCCCACGCACTGGATTAATTTCTCCATTTCCTGATGCTTAGACTATGTCAGCACTGCTTTTTCTGCATGTATTTCCATTGCTGGGCCTTATTTTATTGTTTACTTTTCAGTACAGCACTTCAGTGGGGCGTGAAAGAGGAAAACAGCACAAGAACACGTCATAGGCAACTCATGATCTCATTACTTAAAAGAGTCCCCCGTTACCTCTTCTTTCCTCTGACTCTGTAATTAAGCCCAGACAGAATTACGGGGTGATATTTCAAAGAGCGTTTAGAGCTATTTACCATTATTTCTCTCTTTAAGTTGACAAACCCATCATTCGATAGCATATAAAATAGCAGTTACATCAGGTAAGAAATACAGTTTCAGGAATCAATGGGCAAGTGGCACGAGCAAAATCTATAGTACAGTGAATGGCCCAGCTGCAAACACAGTGGATCTATTAGGGGTAACAAACCCTAGAAATTCTGGCTCACAGAACATATTCACTGTGTTTTAACTGCACATATTTATAACACAAGGAAAGGACCCTACTTTGTTGCCAAAACCTATTTTTAGCCATTGTTTTACTATATATGTATACATATATATGTATGAATTATAAAAACAGACATAAATAATTTTTATGGTATTCATTCATTAAAAATTTGCTATGCTCTGTAAGTATCTGGAGAATTGATGAAAATCAATACTCATCAATTCATGTGCCCCAAGCTACCCCTAAGTTAAAGTAGGCTTAGTAGGCAGTGGCCTAATCAAATGCAGACCTAGGACTAAAAAAAACAGACGGTTTCTGCATTTCCTTTCTCTCCCTTGTTTGTGAGGGACATTCATGGAAAGAACTGTTTGTTTGGCAGCCAGATGTTGGCATTCTCCCAATACAGCCCGACAGAGGTGCAGGGGAGACTGGAGAAATTTTGGAGCATATTGATGAGAATGTATAGGGCCATGTGAATTTTGTGATCCAAATAAAATCTTTTCAGAATAACTGTTTTAAAGTTTTATGTGACCAATCTTTCATTAATGTCCTCTCCCTTCGTTTTCTTTGTATTATACAATGATCTGAGAGGTCAGATACGAAGGCAAGCCTGAATTTTATTATAATATATACAGTATTTTTTTAAAGCAACTACTGAGGTAAAATTATCTGTTTCCGCTCTCATGAACCATTTGGTGGAAAATATATAACTTTCAATTTGAGGAATTACATTTTAGAATTTTTGATATTGGAAATGAAAGACCCAGGTAGAGTAGGATTCATTTATTGGAAATTATATGTTTCACCTTGGTAAATATTGATTTAGAAAAATATAGTAAGCTTCTCAGTAGTCCAAACAGTTAAGTTTCTAAAGTGTTGTCATAAACCCACATATGTCAATGACAAACATACTCATACACTTTCAGGTCATGTTATATGGTTTACTCGGGTATTCCAATATATGACTTTGTTAAAAGAAAGGTCACAAGGACGGGAAGCAAACACAGTGTCTGGGCAGGGTGAGATAAAAGACTTTTCATTGGTCCTTTAACCTCTTTTTTCTTTCTTTCTTAGGAAATAATATTTCAAAATAAGTGTTCATTCTCTCTTTGCTTGTGTTATTCTTAAACTCAGTTTGCTAAATACCATTTAGTACAGAAACATTTAAAAATGAGTACAGTACACAAATTATTGGGATTGGGGACCATCTTTTTGGCTTTATTCATAACATCCATGCACAACTATCCACCAGCTAAAATTTTAACATTGAATTCTTCTTTCTCTGTAGTTAGGAGGTATTTTAACATTCCAACCAAAACCGTAGGTAAAGGGGTTAAATCTTTAAGACATTAAAACACTCATAATGTTCAACTTGCTTTTCTTTCTTTAACCTCCGCGTGCAACTTCCAAATTGTCAAGCCTTTGCTGTTTTGTAGGTCTCACACTCTTACCCATATGCCATGTAAAACTCTGCCCGTGACTCTGGCTGTCAATCCAATGGCACAGCCAATCCAGTTTCATTCTACAGTTGTTTCCTTAGAAACGGATACATCTTCGCTGAAATAGACCACACAAAGAAAAGAGAAAGAGAGAGAAAAAACTCTGCCAGCCCATCTTAAATTATTGTCAGTATACTATTTAGATAGGTTAGAGAAGGTGTCCATCCCGAGTGGTACCTGATTCTAAGTAACAAAGCAAACGCTGTGATGTAAAATACTGCCATTTTATGCTTCCAAATCCATTTATGCTTAGTTAGTCTTTCATTTAAAATAGACTTTCCAATTCCTAATGAAATAATCTATTGAAAAAAAAAATCAGCAAAGTGAGAGACAAACGATCCTGTTTTAGCTTCAGCTTTGAAAACTAAAATTCAATAACGAGTGTTTAAGGACAACTAAAGAAATAACAGATGTCAGCATATCATCAACTAGACATGCCCTTTTTAACTACACATCCTTCCAGCCTTTACCCACAGTCCCTTGCGCAGCCCTCACCACAGTCCATTACGCTGGCGAGAAATTGACCAAAAAAGAACCTGAAGCAGATCTACAAAGCTTGGATGGCCTAAGTCAGGTGTCACTGGGGAATAAACTTCTGAGTGAGCTGTATGTTATGATGGATGGCCCAGCCTAGCCTTATTTCCAGGTTCTCAAATTTGTCCCTTCTTTTCTCCAACTTGCCAGCTGGCAGCTATGGAAAATTCTCACAGGGTCTCTTTTTTTCTGACAGAGCATAATTAGAAATGCAGGCCCTTTTCCTCTCTGCTCTATAGTGATCATCTAGTCAGGTTGAGAACCCTCCCTGTAGCCGAAGTTCTAGAGAGTCAAGCGGATCCCACAGGTACCTCCTGAAGGAGACACTTAGAAGAGTCCCCTGCATCTCTTTCCACTGTGATTCTGCATTCCTTAATTTACAGCCTTTATTTGAGATGTCTCTTCATTTGTAAGGAAAATTAACCTGTTTTCTCCTCTTCTCTTTCTTCTTTTTGCAGGAGGCATTGAAATTTTCAGCAGAGAACTTCCAAGGACATATTGCAGGATTCTGTAATAGTGAACACATGGAAAGTATTAGAAATATTTATTGTCTGTAAATACTGTAAATGCATTGGAATAAAACTGTCTTCCCCCATTGCTCTATGAAACTGCACATTGGTCATTGTGAATATTATTTTTTTGCCAAAGCTAATCCAATTATTATTATCACATTTACCATAATTTATTTTGTCAACTGATGTATTTATTTTGTAAATGTATCTTGGTGCTGCTGAATTTCTATATTTTTTGTAACATAATGCACTTTAGATATACATATCACGTATGTTGATAAATGACACAATGAAGTGTCTCTATTTTGTGGTTGATTTTAATGAATGCCTAAATATAATTATCCACACTGATTTCCCTCTGTGCATGTAAAAATAGCGGTATTTTAAATTTGTAAAGAACGTCTAATAAAATATAATCTAATTACATCATGACTCAGAGGGTGAATTATATTATTTAAGATTCCTAGTAGAAGGAACATGAGCTAGTTTTTTAAGCTCTATTTGAATACAATCTTAAGTTTAATATGTTTATACTGGTACATATTCCAACATTTCCACATTAGCTTTTAGTTAAAAAGCGCTTAAAGTTCTTTTTGCCCAATATTTTAGTTCCAGTCAATAGCGTGGCTGAACTACCTAGACATCATTTTATAAAGTATGTTCAATATGAAGTGCAGACAGGGGCAGGCAGAAAAGAAGCAGAGAGAAGTCAAGAGAAAGGATCAAAGAAACTTAGTCCAGAGAGTAAGCCAGAGTTAAAAAAAAAAAAAAAAAGAGTGGAGGGGGCAGGCCCCGCAGAGGGAAGAGCCTGGTCAGGGACTCAAAGGCCATAGATAATTTTAACCAAAACAAAGTTTAATTCTAGAGATCTTGCTCTTGTGAGTAACAACAATTATAAGCATAAAAGAGCTACCTGAGAATTCTGCCAGTTAAGGTTCCTACCCATACAGCTCAGTGGGTCAGACACCGTCCACATACACCCAGGCTGGAGGGTTCAAACCCGGCCTAGGCCAGCTAAACAACGACAACTGCAACAACAACAACAAAAAATAGCCAGACATAGTCTCAGCTACTTGGGAGGCTGAGGCAAGAGAATCACTTAAGCCCAAGAGTTTGAGGTTGCTGTGAGCTGTGACGCCACTGCCTTCTACCGAGGGCAACACAGTGAGACTCTGTCTCACAAGAAAAAAAGGTTCCTACCAGAGAAAGAAGAGAGACTCAGGTTGGGGAGATGTGTGACCAAAAGCTCCAAAAGGTGAAGGTTGCTTTCCTGTGATCGCACAGTTCCTGGAACTCTGTAACGCCACATGGAATCCCTTTTCCATTTTGAATACCATCCTAGTCGTTCCTCCCTCCATGTTCAGATGAAAACGCAAACACATTTCCTTTAGTTTTTTCTTTAAGTGTTTGCAACTTAGGACATTAACAACAACAACAAACAGAACAAAAGACCTATAAATCAAGCAAGCACATATGTAGGAAGTGTTCTATGAATACCTGATATCCTGTCAATGCCTATTAAATGTTGGGGGGGTGTACAAAAAAATTAAATGCTTGTAAGACACTTTCACTCCAATAGGGAGGCTATTTCATATCTATACCTGAAACAACTACGTGCTAAGCCATCTAAAATTGTATGGATGTCTCAAAATTGGAAATTAAAAAAACACAGAGACAGGAGACTAATAAGGGCTGGGCATGAGTGGGATTATGTTTCTGGGAGCAATAAGCTGAAATTGAACTTGAGTCCCAGAGCCCTCAAGAGGGGACTTTTATTTTATACTTTTTTGGTAAGAATTATAAACCTACATTATTAGTAAGCAAGTAAGAGAATTTGGGCTTAGCTTCACTTATGTATTTGCTGGAAATGGCTTTTACACCTAAGGAATATTAATAGTCACAAGCTAATGGTGCGGGGTGGTCTGGGACATGCACAAACAAACCAATCCTTACCCCTCCCCCATTGGTATGGGACTGTAAGGTCAATACTCAACATGTATGAAGCAAGTAGTTTGGAATGCCTTAAAACCACATTTGGCAAAACTCCGTCTGAAATTCTACATCTTAAGTAAGATTGCGTCAAATCCTTATAAGATGTTTAAATACTAGCTTGGCGAATACTTGGCTATTAAGGCAGGAAAGCATCACATTCACCTTTAAATGCAAGTCATATTTTAAGCTTTGCTTCACAAGTCGCCTTCTCCTTGGGAGGGAACTCGGGGGTTTGTAGCTGTCAATTTTTACCCAAGCCTCATTGATACGCTTATTGCCCACAGTCACATCTCTAGCAGTGACAAAGAGGAAAATCACAGGATAAGAGATGAAGTGTGGAGATAAAAGAAGCAAGAAAACTTTGGGGCACGATAATGTCCTTTTTCATGAAAGAAAAACTGAAATACATAATATAAGAAGTGTTTCAATGTAAACAAAGTCTTAGTAAGTCATGCTCTACAAGAATATAGTTCATCCTTCAGTAGTGTTTATAAAGCAGGAACGATCTACGTAATGGCAATTTGGACCATACGTTCTGGAATTAAAATAAAAATCTGTTCATCTTCATGTTCTATTCAGACAGAATTTTGAGATCTATGGATGTTATGGAGGCCACCTTCAAAAGACAGGTAGTGACACTCAAGTGTGAAGGCCCTGTTCCTGTCACTTGTATTTTCCCGGCCATCACGGTAAAACACGTGTTTATGACTTAACTTCAGAGCTGCATTGCTATGAGCTAAAATCAGGGAAAACATTTAAAGTCAATAATGACAACTTCCTGCTACAAAAAGGAAGGAAGGAGTGACATCTTTTTTGCTACAAAAATTAGTTTGAGATATAGGCCATGTTGATTCTGAGAAAGAGGGAGAAATTTTCTTGGGAGAAAGTATAAACACAACCTTGATGGTTAAAAATTCAGCTGTAATTTTTCATTACCTTTTCTTTGCAGGAGTTGAGCAAAGCAGCAGTTTAACTTCCTGTATCTCCTGTTCGAGGACAAAGGAGTCAATCTTTTGAAAATTCAGAGGGCTATTTCTGATATACTTCATAATGGATGCAACAAGAACACCAATGTCAAGTATCAGCTCCATGCTTATTTTATAGTCGATTCATTAACTAAACACTAAAATACGATTTTAAGAGATACCTACACGTGCTTAAACAACTCAAGTATGGCCTTTTGTTAAAGAAAAAAAAATTCCAGAATACTTACACCATCACAGCATGTTCACTTTTGGGTAATCTAGAATTTAATTTCTGAGTATCTGAAGTTCTGAGTTGAACTGCTATTTTTTTCCCCATTTGGTGACAAAGTCCAAAGTCCATGTGTGCACTTTTTATGGAGAATTCGAAGAAGGAAGTGTTCCTACTAAAGCCAGCACTCCTTCCTCACAGAAAAGGTAAAAGATATTCCAAGTACAAATTGGTCATTTCCTTTCATGTCATCATCCAGAAAATGTTAGGATGAGACTATTATGAAGGATTCTGTCACACAGTGGGATAAAAATGTTGCTGAAAGTTACTCCTAAAGACTCGACTGAATATTTCAGAGGAGGCATTAAACACCAGTGGCTGCTAAGATGCCAAAAGTGAAAGGTCTTACTGCAAAGGTGTACAATCACGTGTCCCAGGTTTACCTCCTTAAGACGGTATTGTTCTGCCTTTTTAATGTCACAGCACACTTGAACCTATAGTTAAACTTCTGTGGCACACTTAAATAGCATTGATCCAAAAAAGAGTATACGTACTGTGCTTTGAACTTCTTCTGAAAATAATTTAATTCATCATCTTTAAAAATGTTCTCGGCACGCCTAAAATCCTCTCACAGTACACCAGGGTGCCGCGGCACACCAGTGAAAAATCACTGGGAGGAGAACTATTCCTTCAAAGTTGTCGTTATTACTTCCCACGGTATTTTGTGAACTTGTTAAGGGCCTCAGCCTTGCTTTCAATATATATCCTCCAACACCGGTTAACAGCGTTAGTACAAAGCAGGTGTTCCAGCAACATTAGTTTCCAGCTTCATCAACTTTAAAAAGCAGAGTTAGACCAAAACTCCGCTGGAGATAGGAGCTGGCTTGGAATTTTGACTATTTCAGATTCCCATGGGATGTCCCTTTCTTCCGCCGAGAACAAGCCGTTCAGAGAACAACTACTCTGAGTTATCAACTGTTCGCCAGTGTGTCTTTTGTTTTTCAGCCTCCGGTTTAATGGGAACTTTTCCAGCCATGTAAGTACAAGAAGTAAGAGGTCTGTGTTGAGTACACAGCAACCTCCCAGAGGAAGGGAGGAGAATTTAAAATATCAGGTTTTCTTCCTATGAATACACTGCACAGAAGTTACCCACAGGGCCCAGTTGTGCAAAAGAGGCACACTGCTATTTGGACAGAAGATTAATGTACACAGTTCTCAAGCAGACCTACCCAAGCTCAGGATGAGAACATTCACATCTCTGTGCAAGTTCCTAATAGGCTCACATTTGCAAGTGCAGAGCTAAGGGATAGGTTTTCAAATTGCATTTTAATTAAAGTTCAAAACATCTTCCAAAGGGTTTTCTGACATTTTCCTCTCAACTGGGAGACATTTATAAATTGGAATAAATGCAAAATGTGTCACCCCTAAAAAATGGATTGTTTTAATGGTGTCCCCTACTCCCTGCCAAATCTACATTGCTTTGGGGCCTGAAAAGCAAAATAGTTAATCCATCTTCCGTTTGAGGAAGGTAATGGATGGTCACAACTCACTAAATTGTCTTTTAAAAACTGCTGGGAAGTAGCTCTTCGGAGTTCCACATTCTACAAAATAAATGCAAATAACAAACCATGCCACATTGGGTTGAGTAACCCTAGGCTCCCATCACTCTTCCTGCTATTCCTTGTGAGTTTTAGTAGAACTCTCTAGTCAATGTAGGACATACAGGAACATAATGAAGAGCTGTCTCACAGCTAACTGGAGATGTGGGAATCTAGAAAAAAGCAGGTTTTGGCTCGGCGCCTATGGCTCAATCGGCTAAGGTGCCAGCCACATACACCTAAGGTGGCGGGTTCGAATCCCCAGCCCGGGCCCACCAAACAACAATGATGGCTGCAACCAAAAAATGGCCGGCGCTGTGGCGGGCGCCTGTAGTCCCAGCTACTTGGGAGGCTGAGGCAGGAGACTGGCTTGAGCCCAGGAGTTAGAGGTTGCTGTGAGCTGTGAGGCCATGGCACTCTACCCAGGGGGATAGCTTGAGACTCTGTCTCAAAAAAAAAAAAAAAGAAAGAAAAAAGCAGGTTTTCTTAGGAAGAAATTTTTTTTTCAGATGACACAGTAAGAGATTCTTCATTGCCATTTTCCCCCAACAATCAGAAGATATGTTTTACAAGAACATTTTGTAACCATGTTATAACAACTATTATGTCAGAATAAATTAGCAGAGTGCCAACCCAACAAATAATGGA